GACGATGGTGTCTACTAATGATGGGGTCTCTCTACAGCTGAGGTTACATGACGACGGTGTCTACTGATGATGGGGTCTCTCTACAACTGAGATCACATGACGACGGTGTCTACTGATGATGGGGTCACTCTACAGCTGATGTCACATGACGACGGTGTCTACTGATGATGGGGTCTCTCTACAGCTGAGGTCACATGACGACGGTGTCTACTAATGATGGAGTCACTATACCGCTGAGGTCACATGACGACGGTGTCTACTGGTGATAGGGTCACTCTACAGCTGATGTCACATGACGACGGTGTCTACTGATGATGTGGTCACTCTACAGCTGATGTCACATGACGACGGTGTCTACTGGTGATAGGGTCACTCTACAGCTGATGTCACATGACGACGGTGTCTACTGATGATAGGGTGACTCTACAGCTGAGGTCACATGACGACGGTGTCTACTAATGATGGGGTCACTCTACAGCTGAGGTCACATGACGACGGTGTCTACTGATGATGGGGTCTCTCTACAGCTGATGTCACATGACGACGGTGTCTACTGATAATGGGGTCTCTCTACAGCTGAGGTCACATGACAACGGTGTCTACTGATGATGGGGTCTCTCTACAGCTGAGGTCACATGACGACGGTGTCTACTGATGATGGGGTCTCTCTACAGCTGAGGTCACATGACGATGGTGTCTACTAATGATGGGGTCTCTCTACAGCTGAGGTTACATGACGACGGTGTCTACTGATGATGGGGTCTCTCTACAACTGAGATCACATGACGACGGTGTCTACTGATGATGGGGTCACTCTACAGCTGAGGTCACATGACGACGGTGTCTACTGGTGATAGGGTCACTCTACAGCTGAGGTCACATGACGACGGTGTCTACTAATGATGGGGTCGCTCTACAGCTGAGGTCACATGACGACGGTGTCTACTGATGATGGGGTATCTCTACAGCTGAGGTCACATGTCGACGGTGTCTACTAATGATGGGCCACTCTACAGCTGAGGTCACATGACGACAGTGTCTACTGATGATGGGGTCACTCTACAGCTGAGGTCACATGACGACGGTGTCTACTGATGATGGGGTCTCTCTACAGCTGAGGTCACATGACGACAGTGTCTACTGATGATGGGGTCACTCTACAGCTGAGGTCACATGATGACGGTGTCTACTGATGATGGGGTCTCTCAACAGCTAAGGTCACATGACGACGGTGTCTACTGATGATGGGGTCACTCTACAGCTGAGGTCACATGACGACGGTGTCTACTGATGATGGGGTCATTCTACAGCTGAGGTCACATGACGACGGTGTCTACTGATGATGGGGTCTCTCTACAGCTGAGGTCACATGACGACGGTGTCTACTGATGATGGGGTCACTCTACAGCTGAGGTCACATGACGACGGTGTCTGCTGATGATGGGGTCACTCTACAGCTGAGGTTACATGACGACGGTGTCTACTGATGATGGGGTCTCTCTACAGCTGAGGTCACATGACGACGGTGTCTACTGATGATGGGGTCACTCTACAGCTGAGGTCACATGACGACGGTGTCTACTAATGATGGGGTCACTCTACAGCTGAGGTAAAAGATTTACACACACTAATGTCGGACTACTAAAATCAAAGTGCAATGGAACAGTGGCGTCCACGATGATATCGCTTTGGCCGCGTAGGCTGTACGTGTCGATGAGTGTTTAGACTATTCAAGGGCCGTGGTTAAATAATTGAAACATCCACTGACGGACATCCTACCATCATTCACAGTGTTGGTTTAATGTCTAAAGCGTTTGTTTTACGTTTTATTGAATTATTTGTCTTTTTGCCTACATCTCTGTCACTAACGTTACTGATACATCACGTTCCTGCTGACAGGGAAAGTGTTTATATCGATCGCATTTAACGTGAAAGCAGTTTGATGGAACATCGATAAGTTAGAACGCCTATTTTCGTCAAGTCGATATATATAAATTTACCTAGTGTTATGACGACGAGTTATTTATCAGTAAACATTTCAATATAAATGATACCTTTTTCACCAACACTGAGGCATTCATGATACTATGAACACATAACACAAAAGGATATTATGATTTTAGTCCGCGTACATCAATGAAGGGATAGAAATGACATGTAAACCACATCATTCGTTTGGTCAGGCACGATCAATTGGAATCTCTGTTAGGAGATTACTACGTCCTGCAAAATAAATACCGAAACTCACCACCGTGAATGGATAATATACAACATGATTGGGTCATATACAACATGATTGGGTCATATACAACATGATTGGGTCATATACAAGATGATTGGTCCATATACAACATGATTGGGTCATATACATGATTGGTCCATATACAACATGATTGGTCCATATACAACATGATTGGGTCATATACATGATTGGTCCATATACAACATGAATGGTCCATATACAACATGATTGGTCCATATACAACATGATTGGGTCATATACAACATGATTGGATAATATACAACATGAATGGTCCATATACAACATGAATGGTCCATATACAACACGATTGGTCCATATACAACATGATTGGGTCATATACATGACTGGTCCATATACAACATGATTGGTCCATATACAACATGATTGGATAATATACAACATGATTGGTCCATATACAAAATGATTGGTCCATATACAACATGATTGGATAATATACACCATGATTGGGTCATATACAACATGATTGGTCCATATACAACATGATTGGATAATATACAACAGGATTGGATAATATACAACATGATTGGGTCATATACAACATGAATGGTCCATATACAACATGATTGGATAATATACAACAGGATTGGATAATATACAACATGATTGGGTCATATACAACATGATTGGGTCATATACAACATGAATGGTCCATATACAACATGATTGGTTCATATACAACATGATTGGTCCATATATAACATGATTGGATAATATACAACATGATTGGATAATATACAACATGATTGGGTCATATACAACATGAATGGTCCATATACAACATGATTGGTTCATATACAACATGATTGGTCCATATACAACATGATTGGGTCATATACATGACTGGTCCATATACAACATGATTGGTCCATATATAACATGATTGGGTCATATACAACATGACTGGTCCATATACAACATGATTGGTTCATATACAACATGATTGGGCCATATACAACATGATTTATAATGACTGGTCCATATACAACATGATTGGCCCATATATAACATGATTGGATAATATACAACATGATTGGATAATATACAACATGGTTTAAATGGTCATATATCATAAGGGTCCATATACAACATGGTTTAAATGGTCACCATATATAAGGGCCATATACAACATGGTTTAAATGGTCACCATCTGAATGGTCCATATACAACATGATTGGTTCATATACAACATGATTGGTCCATATACAACATGATTGGATAATATACAACATGATTGGGTCATATACAACATGAATGGACCATACACAACATCGTTTAAATAGTCACCATTTAAGGGCCATACACAACACGGTTTAAATGGTCACCATCTAAGGGCCATATACAACACGGTTTAAATGGTCACCATCTAAGGACCATACACAACATGGTTTAAATAGTCACCATCTAAGGGCCATATACAACACGGTTTAAATAGTCACCATTTAAACACAACACGGTTTAAATGGTCACCATCTAAGGGCCATATACAACACGGTTTAAATGGTCACCATCTAAGGACCATATACAACACGGTTTAAATGGTCACCATCTAAGGGCCATATACAACACGGTTTAAATGGTCACCATCTAAGGGCCATATACAACACGGTTTAAATGGTCACCATCTAAGGACCATACACAACATGGTTTAAATGGTCACCATCTAAGGACCATACACAACATGGTTTAAATGGTCACCATCTAAGGGCCATACACAACATGGTTTAAATGGTCACCATCTAAGGACCATACACAACATGGTTTAAATGGTCACCCTCTAAGGACCATACACAACATGGTTTAAATGGTCACCATCTACACAACATGGTTTAAATAGAAACCATCTAAGGGCCATACACAACATGGTTTAAATAGAAACCATCTAAGGACCATACACAACATGGTTTAAATGGTCACCATCTAAGGGCCATATACAACACGGTTTAAATGGTCACCATCTAAGGGCCATACACAACATGGTTTAAATGGTCACCATCTAAGGGCCATACACAACATGGTTTAAATAGAAACCATCTAAGGACCATACACAACATGGTTTAAATGGTCATCATCTAAGGACCATACACAACATGGTTTAAATGGTCACCATCTAAGGGCCATACACAACATGGTTTAAATAGAAACCATCTAAGGGCCATACACAACATGGTTTAAATGGTCACCATCTAAGGGCCATACACAACATGGTTTAAATGGTCACCATCTAAGGACCATACACAACATGGTTTAAATAGAAACCATCTAAGGGCCATATACAACATGGTTTAAATGGTCACCATCTAAGGACCATATACAACACGGTTTAAATGGTCACCCTCTAAGGACCATACACAACATGGTTTAAATGGTCACCATCTAAGGACCATATACAACACGGTTTAAATGGTCACCATCTAAGGGCCATATACAACACGGTTTAAATGGTCACCATCTAAGGGCCATATACAACACGGTTTAAATGGTCACCATCTAAGGACCATATACAACACGGTGTAAATGGTGGTCATCATTGCTACTGACAATAATTATGACTGTTTATTGATAGAAGATGATTACACTGACAGACGTGATGGTATGACACAAGGAGAGAGTATTTATTTCACTCCCTCTAAAACTGAAGACTTGAATGCAAAGGATAACATTATCTGTGGCTCTCATTATATCTAGGGGCTTTGACTCTAGGAATCTGAACATACTGTCAAAATAACTCGAGGATTTCGTACCGTGCCTGTAATGCCAACAAGTAAAAATATTTCAAGTAGAAAACAATCAAATAACATACATGGTGGTATTGTCTTCAGAGGCCCACAATATCGAAATCGACATGAAGAGAAAAAAATTCATTTCAAAACTTGATCATTTGCACGTTCATTTTTCAAATAAAAATATGGTAAAATAGTAAAAAAAAAAAATATATATATATATATATATATATATAAACAAAAACAAAAAAGCAATGGGTATTTGATATTAACTGGCAAATGAACATTCACTTTTGACATAAACAAGTTTTCTGGAATTTACGAATTCTTGTATTTGTTTATTCCTGTGTTCACGTACTACTATATTCTTGCATCTATGTTCTCAACTTTGAGCTTTATTGAATACTATTTTGTCATATGTTTTCCACGGAAGCATAAAAATTCAAACATTAGAGCCACTGTTTCACTGCACACAAATAATAAGTATAGAGCCGTATATTTAAGCAATATATCAGACATCGAGTTAACCAATAAATCAGACATCGACTTAACCAATAAATCAGACATCGACTTAACCGACCTAACCAATATATCAGTCATCGACTTAACCGACTTAACCAATATATCAGACATCAATTTAATCAATGTATCAGACATCAATTTAATCAATATATCAGACATCAATATATCAGACATCGATTTAACCAATATATCAGACATCAATTTAATCAATGTATCAGACATCAATTTAATCAATATATCAGACATCAATATATCAGACATCAATATATCAGACATCGAGTTAATCAATATATCAGACATCGAGTTAACCAATAAATCAGACATCGACTTAACCAATATATCAGACATCAACTTAATCAATATATCAGACATCGATTTAATCAATATATCAGACATCAATATATCAGACATCGAGTTAACCAATATATCAGACATCGAGTTAACCAATAAATCAGACATCGACTTAACCAATATATCAGACATCAATTTAATCAATATATCAGACATCGATTTAATCAATATATCAGACATCGAGTTAACCAATATATCAGACATCGAGTTAACCAACAGATCAGACATCGAGTTAACCAATATATTAGACATCGAGTTAACCAATAAATCAGACATCGACTTAACCAATATATCAGACATCAATTTAATCAATATATCGGACATCAATATATCAGACATCGAGTTAACCAATAAATCAGACATCGACTTAACCAATAAATCAGACATCGACTTAACCAATATATCAGTCATCGACTTAACCGACTTAATCAATATATCAGACATCGAGTTAACCAACAGATCTGACATCGATTTAATCAATATATCAGACATCAATTTAATCAATATATCAGACATCGATTTAATCAATATATCAGACATCGAGTTAACCAACAGATCAGACATCGAGTTAACCAATATACTAGACATCGAGTTAACCAATATATCAGACATCGAGTTAACCAATATATCAGACATCGAGTTAATCAATATATCAGGCATCGAGTTAATCAATATATCGGACATCAATATATCAGACATCGAGTTAACCAATATATCAGACATCGAGTTAACCAACAGATCAGACATCGAGTTAAACAATATATCAGACATCAATTTAATCAATATATCAGACATCGATTTAATCAATATATCAGACATCGAGTTAACCAATATATCAGACATCAAGTTAACCAATAAATCAGACATCGACTTAACCAATATATCAGACATCAATTTAATCAATATATCAGACATCGATTTAATCAATATATCAGACATCGAGTTAACCAATATATTAGACATCGAGTTAACCAATATATCAGACATCGAGTTAACCAATATATCAGACATCAATTTAATCAATATATCAGACATCGATTTAATCAATATATCTGACATCGAGTTAACCAAAATATCAGACATCGATTTAACCAATATATCAGACATCAATATATCAGACATCGAGTTAACCAATATATCAGACATCAATTTAATCAATATATCAGACATCGATTTAATCAATATATCAGACATCGAGTTAACCAATAAATCAGACATCGAGTTAACCAACAGATCAGACATCGAGTTAACCAATATATTAGACATCGATTTAATCAATATATCTGACATCGAGTTAACCAAAATATCAGACATCAATTTAATCAATATATCAGACATCGATTTAATCAATATATCTGACATCGAGTTAACCAAAATATCAGACATCGAGTTAACCAATATATCAGACATCAATATATCAGACATCGATTTTATCAATATATCAGACATTGAGTTAACCAATATATCAGACATCAATATATCAGACATCGAGTTAACCAATATATCAGACATCGAGTTAACCAATATATCAGACATCAATATATCAGACATCGAGTTAACCAATATATCAGACATCGAGTTAATCAATTTATCAGGCATCGAGTTAACCAATATATCAGGTATCGAGTTAACCAACATATCAGACATCGAGTTAACCAATATATCAGACATCAATTAAATTAATATATCAGACATCGAGTTAACCAATATATCAGACATCGAGTTAACCAATATCTGTTGGGAATATAAGATTATTTACCACGACACCAGTGTATAACAGTAACATAAGAAAAGACACTACTCTCAGCAAAGTCGGGTCTTTTTGTCATGATCAAAGGGTTTTACAAGGTGGATAGCAATGTAGTTTTAAGTTGAAAGTAGAAAAGTACTTACGTAACAAGATAGCTCTGTATTTATCCATGTACCTTTTTAATTTCAGTAAAAGTATTGAGGAACCTTCCACAGATTATTGTCACAATTTCTGACATTGGATCATGCCAAAATACTTAATTTGAGGACAAGTTTACAGACACAATATCACATGATGAAATCTTTGTCACCTTTGTTGTCCATATGACTCTACAAATGCAATGTTAAATAGCAAAGAAAATGAAGGGGAGAACAACGGTAATCTCGGATAACTATAACTGATCTAGGCCTATGTCACCCCAGCTGCTAATAACTTCATCATTTTCAATAATGGTTGACATGTTTATGTGAACCTTGGCTAGTGTCCGTTGCAGCAAATCAATATGGTGTACTTGAGAATATAGGGGTGACTAATTATACCTAAAACAAAAGGAAGTACATTTTCGTGCCGAGAAGAGGATTGCTCTTTACAAACACGATGACGCTCTGTTGTGTTCTGTGTAGTACTGGTTGACAAGATATAAGAAGTGTACAACTGTTCCTTAGGGATGGTCCGTCACGTGAGGGAGAGAGAGACCAATGTGACATCAAGTCATTTGGGCGACAGACAAATGAGGCAATGGAACTTCAGATGGATCGTCTCATCTATTTTTGACAGCACAACGTCGAATGCAAAACGTTAAGAGGTTCCAACGTAACGTGTTAGGCATCCGAAGTACTGCAGAGAGATCTGGAGTGCAACACGACTGAAACACGATATTACGTATAAAGTGAGGTACACTCACGTTCTAAAGAAAGTAAGTATTGTGTTATCGATATAACTGTTTTCAAATTCTTGTTTATAATGCCGCTTTGTTGTTTACAATAAAGCCATACATGGCTGTAATGAGTATCGTGTTCTCACTACATCACATTTTACTTGACCTGACCACTTACATCGTTTCTAACAAAAATCATCACCTTTTAGATATCTGTTAATAGTATGGTTTATTTAATATAGTATAGTAATCTCGTTTGTAAGCTTCTTTTCGTTTCCTTGTCGTTATTTCTGATTTCCTTTATCGATAAACCACATGTCATTGTTTTCTTTTTTTAATTCTAGACGACTTCAGCAAGCTCGTATTAGCAACATGCCAACCATGGTATTGTGTCAGACAACTCACTCTAGATTATAAAGACCACACTTCTTGTTGTCCCCGATGTACAAACAGAAGAATTCCTCTTTTCCGCTGATAAGATAATGAGATTAGTAACATTGTCTTCGAACTTCACTAAAAGGAATAAGTGTTAGCTGGAACCAAATCCCTGTTTTCGCAATTAACATAGTTTTTAACACTGTGATTTATATTGAAAATTTCGATCTACGATGTTTGAAAAAATCATGTGTAACACATTGTGTATTGACAAGGATGGTTAAATCACAATATATATATCATATTGATGCGTATTAACTACTGGTATATATATCCATGGTGACTGATTCTAGTGTTGTTTTCATTACCTGGGAACTTGTTACACATATCTAATTAGTCTGATAGTGATACTCCATGTCACGTGGTACCTTAATAGCCAATACATGTATCTAATACGCGCCAATTATATTTATTTGTTTGTTACAATAAAATTGCTTGGAAATGAAATATGTGCAGATGAATACATCTAGAGGTGTTCCGCGTATTGCACATTAACATAGTAATAAAGGGTTACATCTGACGTCTATTAAAACTGAGTGGGATCATTACAGCTTGGATTTCTGTTGTAATACAATTCTATTGATTATTTGCACCATTTTCCAAATCGAAAATTGAAAAGTAACCTGTATGTAAAGTATGATATAATACGGATTTTTTCCCCGTATTTCAATAATTGATGATTCTGTAGGTGGGTTAATTACCGTTAACCACCATTATATATCTTAAGGAAATATAAATCGATGAGGAGAGTGAGTGCGGTAAGTTTTCTTGATCTGTTTGAACTATTGTTCTGGATGTGATTCATATATATTATCAGAGATTTACAGCGATTGAAAACTGTTTAGGAGTTCTGCAATATGTCTATGTCCTTTATCAAACAAAAGGTGTAAAGGACGGAGCCTTGACGACTGGACGAAAGTCAGGTGTCAAACTGTCAGGACGTAAACAACGACCATTTTGTCTTCGTTTGTCACTTCTATAGTGTTGTGTGGTTGCATCGGTTTACTGATGTGATGTTCTCTCAAAAGGAGACAAAACAGGTATGGTTTATCAAATTCCATGCAACACCTACAGTCACATCGATGGTACAGGAGGGAGATTCGAAACACGTCTCAAGGAATTTCAAAACGACGTAGTTTCAATGAAAAACAAAAAATACATCGACGATATTAAAAAAGATTAAAATAAATCAGCCATCACAGATTATGTCAATATCAAATTTCAACAACATTTACCGACAACAAATGGATTGAATAACAGGCAATATTTACAACTGCATCACAGTTAAGAGAAGTCGTGGTTACAAGAAACAAGAGGGTAGGGAGGGGGTACCATCTGAGTCATCATTGTAAAATATTTCAACATTAAATAAGTGGCGAAATGAATGGAACATCTACCTACCATAAAACTGTCTACTGACATTTCCCCTCAAACTGTCTACTGACATTTCCCCTTAAACTGGCTGCATTGTAAGAGTGACATTTCCACAGACTGTCTTCTTAGTCAAAGTGACATTTCCCCAAGACTGTCTACTTAGTAAAAGTGACATTTCCCCAAGACTGTCTACTGACATTTCCCCTCAAACTGTCTACTGACATTTCCCCTCAAACTGGCTGCATTGTAAGAGTGACATTTCCACAGACTGTCTACTGACAGTCCCCCTCAAACTGGCTGCATTGTAAGAGTGACATTTCCACAGACTGTCTACTTAGTAAAAGTGACATTTCCCCTCAAACTGGCTGCATTGTAAGCGACACTTCCCCCAGACTGTCTACTTTGTAAGATTGACATTTCCTAGACTGCCTACTTAGTCAAAGTGACATTTCCACAGACTGTCTACTTAGTAAAAGTGACATTTCCACAGACTGTCTACTTAGTAAAAGTGACATTTCCCCCAGACTGTCTACTTTGTAAGAGTGACATTTCCCACAGACTGTCTACTTTGTAAGAGTGACATTTCCACAGACTGTCTACTTAGTAAAAGTGACATTTCCCCCAGACTGTCTACTTTGTAAGAGTGACATTTCCCCCGACAGTCTACTTAGTCAAAGTGACATTTCCCACCTACTTAGTCAAAGTTACATTACGTTTTACCTGTAGAGAGAGTGACATTTCCCCTGTCAATGATCTACAGGTTACAGTACGTTTTAGCTGTAGAGACATAATGATCTACAGGTTACAGTACGTTTTACCTGTTAAGACAATGATCTACAGGTTACAGTACGTGATCTACAGGTTACAGTTTTTACCTGTAGAGAGAGCATAATGATCTACAGGTTACAGTACGTTTTACTGGAGAGTCATAGAGAGTACGTTTTACCTGTAGAGACATAATGATCTACAGGTTACACTACGTTTTACCTGTAGAGAGAGACATAATGATCTACAGGTTACAGTACGTTTACC